CAGAAAACGGGGTCTCCAGGAGCCAAGAGCACGAATCCTTTTAGGCTTCTTACTAGCTCACTATCCTCTATCGATCGACGTACGAACGAATGAAATCGGAGTGTGTCACTTGGGAATGTTCCCTCGTTAGCTGAAACTTAGCGATAAATACAGTGCTACGCCGTATAGCCTATACAATAAAAAAATTTTATTCTACCCAACCACAATGATTTAGATTATGAATCGTAACGCGATGGGTATAAAAGAATTATTTTCAAAACTAACGAGGCCCAGGTCGGCTCTCACGGCAAAGTCGCGATGTGAGTCACGGAAAAACGTCATGGCGTGAACGCGTAACGCGATCGCTATTGGACTCACGAAAAATGTCACGATTTTTGCGATCACTATAAACTCACGATGGAAAGGGATTTTTCCAATCCACTCGTAAAACTCACGGAGTGACTCCTGCTGTCGCTGTGTGAGTCCCAGGTTTTTACCAACATTTGGGCGTGAGCGCCTTATTCTCGCGATGTGACTTACGAGGTCGCATCGTGGGTCCCGTGTTTTATCAAAAATTCAGCGCGGCTAGCTGTTGTCGCGACGTGACTAAGCAGGGACTTACGATTTTTCTTCAGCAAGACTCCTATCGCGCCTTTTACTTACTCGCGCTTGTTTTTTCCTCCTGCTCCTTGAAGTGCTTATTCGATTTGGAGTTTTCCTGTCTGAACAGGGCTTGTATATAGGGTTTTTATTTATTTTTTACGTGAAGAACACATTCACGCTAGGAGTTTCATCTGGAATCCCAAGGAAGCTGACGCTAAGTCCACAATAAATCGCTTTTGACTTAAAACCTAGAGGACAATAGGTAATCGAGTATGCTGAATCCGAATATGATAATGGGTTTTGCCGCTAGATCTCCAGAGATCCTGTTTCTGGAAAACGGATTTTCCAGCTCAAAACCTTTTGACGCTAATATTTTTTCTGACTTGTCCATATGAAAGAGCATATGGCAAAACCTATAAAAAACTGGTTTGACGGTTTTCGAAGGTTTTTGAAGACTGGAACTTCAAACGCCTAATAGGAACGCTTGAAACCTTCGAAAAACCGTCAAAAACCTTTGCAAATCAGTTTTTTAGGTTTTGCCATATGCTCTTTCATATGGACAGATTAGAAAAACAACTGGCGTCAAAAGGTTTTTGAGCTGAAAAAATCGATTTTCCAGAAACAGGGTCTCTGGAGACCTGGCGGCAAAAACCATTATCATAGTCGGATTCAGCATACTCGATTACCTATTGTTCTCTAGGTTTTAAGCCAAAAGCGATTTATCAGTTGGTGGCCTGTCCTCGTAAGTTTCCTTAGATGTATGATGAGTTTTCTAAATTTTCCTAAACTTCAATTCGATCCAAAAGCCTACCATAATGCTTATTAATATACACTCCATCTATGATTAATGTATTTTTGTTCTCCGACTTCGTATGGGATTTCTAAAACCCCTAGCTTTCCAAGTGAAAATCGTTTTTTTTTGGCTCGGGATCGTTTCCAGTAAAAGAAATGTGATGTTTGAATGAGCGCGCAAAACTGCATCAAATGATATAGTTCTCAAATACTTTCTGAAATATTTTTTCTCAGTCAAAAAAATTTCATCTGAGGGAGACTGGATGTGATACATTTCTGGTCAAAAACTAAAAGTTTTCCGAATAAGATTTTTTCTTGCAAGAATACTGTTTTCAGGTACACAGCGTCATTCTACATCAAAAACAATCATTTCTGATGATAAAAAACTTGATATCCGCCTGCTCAGTGGAAAATGTTCACTGCGCCATTCTCCCCTGATTGAGGAGAGAAAATTTTTATCCGAAGTTAGAACACCAGAAAAACAAATCGAGATGCTCAGACTTATACCAGGAGATTTTGAAGAATATCAGAACATTTTCACTGTTGACCAATATGAGGTTCTAAAATTTGGTCCAATTGAACTGAAAATTTTCCTGACAGTGCATGACATAAATGTTCAGACGTGGTCTTGTGTATTTAACTTTTTGACTTTTGTCTCTGAACGTAAAGGATTTTTAAAATCAAAGACCGTAGTTTTTCACGGAGCTTTTTGTATTTTTTCTGAAAATTGAGAAAGAAAGAAATAAACAAATTCTCAAATAACACCTGACAAACACAATTGACTATCTACAGTTAAAATTCCAGCCCAATAGTGTCAAATTTTAGATCGTATTGATCGGTGATGAATACCTGACGAATACGATCTCCGTGAGTATATATACATATATAAATAATAATAATAGCAAAGATTATTAACGTATTGCGGTTCCTTTCCTATACTGAAAGGTCTAAACCAGGGATGAGCGGTAACGGTAAAAAAATCTTTTACCGAAGTTTACTGAGGTAAAATTTTGAGATTAATTACCGGTTTGAAATTACCGCGGTAAAAATCTGATATTGCTACCGAAGCGTCAGTAATGATAAACGTTTTAACCGTTAGCCATCTCTAGTCTAAATGTTTTCCTTTTATATCCTAGAAACCTCGTTAATCTTGAATTGTCTCAATAGTTACATCAAATATATGCTATTCTTTATTTAGTTTAGTTTAGTTACAAAACAAAACAAAAGAAAAATCTATCGACTTTGGTAAAAATAGAAACTTGATAACACTTTCGTTTTTTTTTAAAAGTGCAAAAAAGCTACGCATTAATAATAATCATGAAAAAATAATATAAAAAATTAGAACAAAACATTTTGCGTATATGTAATTTTAAGAAAATGTAAAACAAAAAGTAGATATGATTTCATTCGTAATGAAAAAATTTATAGAAATAGAAAAAACAAACAAACATGCTTCTTCCTAATTTTCGAAGAAGTATAAACCAAAAATAACATAATGGTTATTCTCTTCAGTATCAAAAACAAACAAAGCAAAAATAAAAAACATAAAGAGAGATGCATGTCGTATAGAAACAAAACACAAAACTATGGCACATGTGTGTGTGTGTAGTGAGTGTAACAAATGTAATTTACAATAATAACAAGGAATAACAAAATTAAAAAAAAAGAAAAACCGAGCCAGCGGACACATCTATCAGCTAGAGAACAAGAACAGCAGCACCAGGAAGTCGTCTCAAAAAAAACCAAGAGGTTTTTTGATATTCGTTTGTTTCCAATATGGCAACTAAAGTAGTAGATAAATATTAGTGAGTTGAACACATTTTCCTAGTTTAAGTATTATACGCTTACCGAGTAAAAGTCAGATTTTGTCATTCCAAATTCTTTCTATAAAAAATTAAAATAACTAACATTATCTATACTTTAAGAAATAACAACTCAACATACCTCAAAATCGTAATCTGATAAATACCACTCAATTTTCGAGGCATCAACACCTTCAGGCAATGGCCGAGTTTTAAGTTCATTAATCGTATACTGTTCACGACATAAAGCGGAGACAATGTCAACAATTAAATCCTTTTGATTTTCATGTTTACCATCCTAAAATAAATGGTTCTTTTGAACAAGTTTGAAATTTGTCATGGAGACTACTGTCATTTTCAAAACATAATATCCCTGACTATTTTTTGAATAATTCAATAGCTCCAGTTAATAAAAACTTGCGGTTTTGACCATTCTATAGCCAAGTCTATGCATCTCAATCTGCATTACCAAGAAAGAGATTTTGAGGCTGTCTCCATATAACGATAAAAAATTCATAATTCACTCAAAAAAACTTGAAAACTTCAGAATATGCTGTATTTATGCTATTCTACATCCTATTCAATTCTTGACTCCCATTTTAAAAAGGATAATCGCAAGTTTTCATCAACTTTAGTTATTGTGTTATTCAAAAAACAGCCAGGGATATTATGTTTTGAAAACGATAGTAGTTAAAATACACGTAGTTGATAAATCCATACGATTCTTACACAAGTAATACTTACCAGTAAATTCTGTTGTTTTGCTTGTAAATTAATTGTCCATTTAGGAAATAAATTCGTAAATTCGATGGGCTCTAGGCCAGCATAAACAACATAACCATGAGTATCTGGTATTTCACCGGTTTTTGCTAAAACAAACAGATCTTTTAATAATCTACAAGTTAGAGAAAAAAAGAGTCACACCTTCCCAATAGTTGATTGCTGTTTTACAAGTACATCGTCTCTCTGCCGTAAAACGCATATCGGCAGTTCCACCAGCTTGTAAGCCAGCATTAAATAATTGTATTTCTAATTCGTCTGTTGGCATATCGCGAAATCCTTGCCATATATAAAGTTCATCTTCTGTATCAATTAAACACAATGCTAAATAAATGAACTCATTAGACTTTTCTGACATGAAGAAGACAACTTATCATATACCAGGCTGATGTTGATCATATAGATCTGTTTGAATAAAAGGAAATGGTGAAACGTGTTCAGATCGTAGCGGATACAAAACTGTAAAAGAAAAAAAATTAGCGTCTTGGAACAAATAACTAAAAGAGAATCGTACTTTCTACTGCCACAAACGGACCGTGCAAACTAGATAAATGAAACATTCTCATTGTTGTTTGTTTGTATAATTTGGCTGTAAATAAAATCCGAGAAAATTATATCGTAGTTTTAAGTTGGAGAAAGACAGTCAATATCTTACAAAAGCAGCTACTTCTACAATTTGAGAACTTTAAAGTCGTATGATATGAAGTTTGTACAAAATGCTAATTTCCTGCGCAATCTCAGTCACACATTGTTAATCGCTGTTGAATTAAGATATGAGTAACTCACATTTATAGCTCCTCATCTACCAGCAAAAAGCGTAATTATTGCTCAAAAATGGATCAAAAACACGATGAAACTTGCCGGTATTGATACGGACAAGTTTAAAACTCATTCATGTAGAGAAGCAATTATCTCAAAAGCAACAGTCCCAAGGACTTGGGATACATCGGAGTCTAAGGACAGCGAAGTGGGCGAATGTCGACACTCTCAGGAGATTCTATCATAGAGAAATTATAGAAGATGAACGGCTATTTCGACAAAAGATCATAATGCGGAGTACATAGTGACTTTGGACATACGTAGTTCGGTTTTTATGAGGTTTGTGAAATAAAATAGAAAATTTTGAGTTTGTTTAGCTCTCGATATGAAATTAGAGTTTTATGAACAAATCGAAGTCGGAGATTAACTTAGTATCCACCCTACACCCTCCGTGGTAAATTGCGGATCATCTCGATACTATTCTGGAGTTTCAGTCGATTTATGCTTAATCCTGAATTATTTTCAGAGATTAAAGATCGATTAAAGATATAGCTGTGACATTTTGTCTGATTAATTTACAAATATATCAAAGCAATTTCTAATAATTTCAAATCAATATCTGGTTTCCAAATGAAAAAATAGCATAAACACATTTTTTTGTGGTAACGAAGTGGTTTTTCAAATATAAAATAATTGTAGTTTTTTAACGAAATTAAAATCAAAGCATGAAAAACGTAAGAAAATAGCTGAAAATGAAGGTTTTATAATGCTGGATCGCTCGTCCTCTGATCTTTGTAGGTTCGGAAAACAAACATATTTTACTAGGAAAATTTTAAAAAAATATCGTAACTCGTCAACAATTAGTGGTGTTGAACGATTAACATTTTGTACAAACTTCAAGCCATACAACCTTATAGTTGTTGAGTTATAATGGGAAATAGCCTTGTGAAGCACTTTAACTTACAATTTAACAATGAATGGTATTTTCGTCGATTTGGCCGTTCTTGAATAGCTTCCCAAAATAAATTTATTTCATCCCCTTCTTGCATTTCAGAAAATTCAATATCTGTGTTTGGCATAAAATCAAATTCACTTGGACGCCTTTAAACGAGGAAAACATGAAAAACTAACGATTGTGGAACTAATATATCTTTCATACTTTTCACGTATTTTTACTGCCGATTTTACAGCTAGAGATTTTAATTCATTTGATACTCGACAACCATGCCATAATAACATTGTTGTACTAGATGTTAACATAAACGATGTACGACTTCTTAAATTTGAACTATCGAGAGCTAATTGCCACCAGTGTGTTTCCACTTCAATTTCACCACGTAACACATACATGCGCCATTCTAGAAAAAGAATAAGTTTAAATAATGAATAAAGAAAGGATAATGATTATTACCTTGATTATTATTTCTTCTATGATTTCTTTTGCCTTCATGTATTGTCATTGTACCATCGAATAGTTGGAGAAACACTGGCTCTTCTTTTTCTTGTACAATATGTACCTGTCAATCAGAAAATAAATTGAAAAGATTGAAGATCAGACAGGTTCGTATGTCTATCATTAGTAGTAAGATTATATTTCATAACCAATCTAAATAATAAAGTAAACAGATCGATTTACTTACATGGGGGCCTTTTTCTTCATCTAAAAATACTGTCATTAACGCTGATAATCCTTTTTCATTTGGCGATGATTTTGCTCCTTGCCAGATAAAGTAGGAAGTACGATCTCGACCCGTATCTGTTTTTCTCACGGATGCTTTTCCAGTAGCTAAAGAATGGAATCCTAAAATGAAGCAAAAAATAATCAAAATTAAATAATACAATAAATATCATTCACACATACCCGATGCCACCAATTTATATTTCCATCTTATAATGTAAACATCTTCTGAGTGGAATTGGCCATAACTAAATGTATCTAATTCGTTTCTATCATTATCAGCAACATGCCATACATTAATTGATAATGTTGTCACATCATGGCCACGTAACTCAACTGGATCGTACCTAAACGTATGACTCAAAATCAAATGTTTCTGTCTATGATACTACATTCAATAGAGCAAACCATTTTTTTCCTCTTCCAAGATTCGCTTGTTCTAAAACAAAATTAACAGGAATATCATCCTGTTGTAACATTTTATGTACATCAGCCGGTTTCAATGTTTCAACAATGGATTGAGGCTATAATATAAGAAGATTTTATAGAATTAATTAAATTTTATGAATTTATAAAATTTTACCCGTCTTGCCGACGGAATGCGATTAGCATTATGAGCAGCATCATTAATAGGTTTCAGATCAGTTAAATCGCCTGGCCAATCATAAAATTTTCCTTTGAATAATAATGTTTCGACATTCTGATTTTGTTTACCAAATATGGACCATTCAGGACGTTTATTACCAGACGAATGAAAATTTTCGTCTAAAAAAAGACTTTTGTTTAATAGTTATCTTTATTAGTAGGTGGGAAAAAAAAATACCACATACCTTCAAATAAAGGATCAAATGGATTAATAGAACACTCAGAAAAGTCATAGGAGTCATTCCATAATTGTTGAGCAAGTTGTACGCCTAGTTGTCGCTTCGCTTTATCCGTATATTTTCCGTTCCATATATACAATTCTGGACCAAAATCAAGTACAAAAACCTAAAAATCAATAAATTAACTTCATAAAATGATATATCTGTTTAATCCAAATAATCTATGGGACAAATGAGTGGTAGTTTTTTTTCTTAAAATTACATAGCTAAAAAAAATACTATCATCTTACTTCACTTGGATTCAGATATTTAACGGATAATGGCTTAAAACAAATATCATCTAATGGTATTAATGTATCATTTTCGACTTTATAAACACGATTTGATTCGACAATATTCGTTTCATAATAATCATCGTCGGTAGCATTACTAAGTTCTAGAAGAATAAAGACTTGATAGAATTACCATATATTATCATATAATTTTATTGTACATACCATTAAAATCATTTCCTTTCAAAATTGCATATAACTGTGTGTATGCTTCATTACTGTTCTCATCATTTGACTGATCAATTAGATAAAATTTAACTTCATTGCGTATACCCATATCTCGATGTTGTTTTAAATATTCAATCAATTCCATGGTCTATAAATAAAAAAGATTAGCACATTGAAATACATTAAGATATGTTTTATGTAGCAAAAATAGACCTTTGCTTTTTCAATTGTACTTGAAAAACGTCCTATCCATGCGAACACTTTTGAAGGGGTAATTAATATCTAAAACAAAAATATATAAAAATAAAATGAATTAGAAAAATCTATAATTAACCTACATAACTATCACCATCATTAATTGATTTAGCTGATGGATTCACAAGTCGTAATGGACAATGTCGACGACCTAGTAATTATAAGAGAAAAGACACTTTTAAGTATGTAATGAAGTTTTAATCTCATTGTTTGCAGTAAATGCTCATGTAGAATTTTCTTTTTTTTTGTAATTTTTCTTACCTTTGATAAGTATAAGCATAAGATCTTTGTATGATTCTAAACCAAATGTTGCTAGAGCATTTGGATCAATTTTTCTTAAATTTACTTCGGCAAAATTTTCTTTGGCTGCTAATGCTGCCAATGCTTCTTGAGCTAGACTAGAATTTTCTGAGACTAAATAAAAAATTGTAAATAAAGATTGTATCACACATGATTTTATATTCTTATACATACTTTGAGCTATTTTTAAACGTCTTAACTCTTGTTCTGATATATTTGTACGAATTTCTGTATATTCATCGACAGTTGGAATAACAGCTTGAATTTGTCGTAATGGATTTTTTGCGCCTTGTTGACGACGTTGTGGTTTAACACGAACAGGTTGTGGTTGTAATCTTCAATAAACAATTGAATAACAAATAATAGATGGTAATTTTTCTAGAAAAACTTAAATATACCTAACACTATCAGCTGCTATTCGTTCAAGATCATCAATATTAAGTTGTATAGATTGTTCATCATTATGTGATTTTATATCGTTAAAAAATTCATCTAATTGATCATCGGGCTTTAAAACAGATACTATATCAGATTTTACAACATTGATCAAATTATTATTATTAATCGATTTTGGAACTGTGTTTACTAGAAAAAATAAATACAATTATCTATTATAGAATAACTATCCATTTTATCTACTTACTTGAATTGAGATTTGGCGATTGAGATGATAAATTTTTTTTGTTATTTGATTCTAAATTGAGAATATAAATAAAAATATTTAACATTTCAAGGTCATAATAATCATCTTTATCACCACCTACTTTTCTGTTTAACATGATTATTATTATTTTCATCATGTTTAATTGAACTTTTATTCATGCATTGACCCATTACAATTAATGTTACTAACTTTTTTCAACATCAAAGAAAAGCGCAAACAGAAGAACAAAAGAATAAACTTTGAAACAATTATAAACCTTCTAAATATAATTCATTATTTTCGATATTGTAAACAGTTTGTGTGTGTGTGTGTTCATGTAATTTCGAATATAATCGGGTATATAAGGTATTATTTACATACGTTGTTGTACAAACTCTATCTTCTTTTTATGTCATCCTATCTCTTTTTCTTCGTATATGTATGTGGTGGTTTGAGGGTAATGATGCAACAAAACGAGTGAGTGTATGTGTATAAAAAAAAGATATATATTGTTATGAGATGAGCTGTGACCGACAAAAAAAAATCGAACCCCTTAATTGTGGTGACTTCTATAGAAATGAGAGAGAGAGAGAGAGAGAGAGAGAGAGAAAAGAAAAACTAAAGTTCTTTTTTCTCTTGTTGTTGAACGTATATATATATATATATATATATATATAATCTTGTTATTATGCAAAATAACAGTACAGCTAGTCTTTCTATATTTGACTACAAAGAAAAGTAGTAAAAGAAAGAGAAACAATATGTTCAATGGATGTAGATAGAAGAAAATTTATTTCCCACTAATACTCATTTTTTTGTAAGGCATCTCTTAGTAGAATAATAAAGAAAATATTCTCAGTTCTCATGAACACAGTATGACTAAAAGTATAAAAAATAAAAAAAAATCATGTATTAATTTTTGTTTTTCCTGTTTTTTTTGTTGTTGTTCCCTCTATAAGAGAGATAACTATTAGTAGTTAAATAGATCCATTTCTCATTCAATTTTTAGATAGATAAATGAATACAAATTACTAACAATCAAATTTTGGATACTCTATTCTAATATATTTTGTTTTCTATCCAGTCAAGTATATACTATGAGCAAATTAACAGAGAAAAAAACAAAAAATAACGATTATAATAAATAAACTGACGAATGTAATCTGTGTAGAAGACAGTTCAATTCTAAACTATAATCAATCGTCACTCAACGAAAAAAAAAAAAGAATTCGACACTCGTATATATGAAAACAAAAACAGCTTATAGGATGAAAACACTTTATCTGCACATACATTACGTGTCTTTTCTATTATTTATTAATATTATATCAATGAAGAAGAAGAAGAAGAAGAAAAAACTATGCAGACTATAGATTGGATACTATCTCTGTACTGAAAACAGCCACAACAATATATATCATATAAAATATTTGTGCCATAAATAGATACACGTCTACCTTATCAAAATCTATATATGAGAAGAAGAAAAAAAAAAGAAGAATTGTCTATGTATAAACTTCCAAATATTATTCACTCAATTCACAGGATAGATTGTAATGAACTGACATTATAGCTTTAATTTGAAAATAAAATATGGAATGCTAAACATTAGTGTATTCAAACGGAAACACTCAATTGATCATCATTTTGAAGAATAATAAATGAGTTATACATAATCGAATAGAATTATGTAATAAACACTCTAAAATCATTTATAACACTTAATTTTCTATATGTCACATATGAAACAGAACAAAAATTAAGAACAGGAACACTTTAATTTATATTCATATAAAGTTGACAATCAATCATCATTGTTTCCACGCCAAATGGTCAACATCAAAAGAAAGAATAATCATCTAGATTCTCATAAAGAAGAAGAAGAAAAAACTTGAATATTTTATTTTGATAAATATTGTTACAATATTCTGATATTCTAGACAATTATCGATAAATTTGAATGAATATGATAAGAAAATTTGTTTGTTTATTCTTTTTCATAGAATGAAAAGTTTCCTTCTTGTCAATAGACATCAATTACTATTATATTAACTACAAAGATCTGTATCTAATTTGATGTATATTATAGATTGATTTTTTTTAATGGAAGATAGAAGAGTACAATCGATGAAGTATATTATATTCGTAACAAATCTTATTGATGAATGACATTTGTTCCAGTTTATATATATATATATAATATAATATATACGCATAGATAAGACAAACTTATGAACATCACTCTTATTTTTCTATTTTGTTTTACAGTTGATGACAACTGTCTGATTATGTAGTAATTAGAAAGAACAATTGTATCACTTCATATTTCTCGGAAAATTTAGAAATGAGTAAGTGTATATAATTAAAATTAATGAATTAGTTTTTTTTGTACAATAAAGTTATAAAACTTTAATAAATCAAACTTACCAGCTTTTAATCTAACAACATCAATTGTTTTTGCTCGTTGTGCATTATTATTTGTATTATATTTAAGTGTACTCTTTTTGGGTTTTATTAATATTTCATTATCTGGTGTGGTCGGTGTTGTAATTTTACCCGCTTGTCGAAGTTTACCTTCGATACTAAATTCATTAGCATCATTTGATTGTACACGTTTTTTCCACTCATTTTCTGTAAATGTTTTTAATTGTTCAAGCCTAAAATAGATAAAATTTTTTCTTTTAGTTTTTAAAGAAGAACAAAACATAATAGTCGTCTTCAACAAACCTTTGCTTTAACGGTATAATATTTTCAGTTTCTTCTGGACTAATCATGGACGAATCATCTATTGAAGAGAAGAAGAAAAAAAAGAATAACAAAAGGATAAACATTTGTTTCTTGGAAAAACGTAACTATTAACAAACATCTTTCTTTTGTCTTTCAGATAGACGTCCTCCGAGTGGATTATCGTTCTCTTTATATTTAATGATTTATTAGTCTAACATAATACATTTTAATATGTGAGTAATTATAATAAATATAAAATTTGAATCAGTACTAACTTCTTATCTACAACAAAACACTGAGTAAGTCTATCCAGCACTCAAAATGGATTATATTTCTTTTCTCGTTTTTTTTTTTTTTTTAATATAAAATGTAGAGCAAGCACAAAAGTATTTTAAAAATACTACTCACACATACACACTATCATGCAATGTAGGAATAAAAAAAGCGAAACATAGAACATTTTTTTTGTTCTGTTACCTTCCATATTATTTGTTATAATCAGGATGTTTGATATAGTTTTTAAATTTTAATTCTTACCTTTGAGATGTGGTGATAATGTTATCTTTATTGATGACAATGATGAATCGGTATGTACGGGTATACGTGATCGATGATGTAGTTTTGATTGTTCACGAAAACTCTGAGATTTTTTTTTTAATTCAGAACGATTTGTTTGTGTTTTATTATTAATATCACTGAGACAATCATGACCATTTTGTTGTTGAATAAGCTTTGTATTTGATAATAAAAACGATTTTAAAATTGATTTTGTTATTGACAAAGATGAAGATGGTGATGGAGAAGAAAAATTATTAATAGTCAATTGCACTTTTGGTTTTAATGGTTCACTTTTTGTCGTTAGCGGTGTAGTTGTTTTGGGTATTATTAATAAAGCAGGAGGTTGAACATGCGTATTTTGCACTACAAGATGGATTAAATAGATGGAACATGCGAGATAAAGTAAGGGAGAAAGAGATTCCTGTTAAATTTGTTTGAAAAGTATCCGAGAAAAGTTTTTTTATTTTTCTCCTGTAGTAATCGCACAAAAAGTAAATCCCCGTTCATACTTTATATTTCAAACAGCTCCTTCCTATTCGATGTCGTATAAACACGATCATTTAGTTTAAAATTTCAGTTTGTCAGTTTATTGATTTGATTAGAACATAATTTAGCGTGGTAATTTATTTGCTAGTACGCCAGATATTAGCAAACTAGCATCTATATAATGTATAGTAAAGTTATACAGAAAACGAAAGGGATAGTGAACCATTTCGAAAATAAATTCAAAATGCTTTGTATATACTAGCTTATTCGATCATTGGTCAATCTTGACTGATCATATGAGTGATGTCACTTTAGATAAGGTGGTTTACGTAGATATTCAGCCTTTTTCACATGTACGTCTAACCTCAACTGAATATCTTGGAATTATAATAAGTATAAATTACACCAATCGTATGTGCACGGAATCAAATTGAGAAGAACTGTGCATGTAAACGTAGCTTAACCGAAAGTCAATGAGAAAGAGATCAAATCAACGGATGTGTCATAAAGAATCGGTCACTTTGTAATTTGCTTGTAACTTTTTCAGAGTTTATCTCTAAGACTTTCTGTATGGAAAAAGGCACTCTATAAAAAACCTAAACGCATTATTACAAAATGTTAAAGTGGAACATAATGCGGAAAATACTGAAAAGCTCCAAAATAGGCAAGTTTCTAACGTATTTCGCATCCAACTAAAATGTTATTTTTAAATAACAATGCAGAGATCAGTTACATCAAACAGCATCTTCTGATACTGTTAACTGTGCTTTCTACATGTTAGAGAGACGCTTCGGTAACAATCTCAGATTTTTATAGCTGTAATTTTAAACCGGTAAAAAAACTCAAAATTTTATCTTGCTAAACTTCGGTAAATTTTTTTATCGTTACTAGCAGTAAACTACCGAGGACTACAGAGTTTTCGATAATGTATGTAGGCTAGTTTCTAAACAGTAATTAATGGTCTGATTCATGGAATAGATCAAGTTAATATCAATGTTTTCATTAACAGTTACTTCGCTCTACAGTTTGTCTTTGAGAAACACTGCATATATCACCGAATCTGGTTTCATGGTTTGACGATTCTGTAATAGTTTATCAGAAATGAAAAAACAATTTTCTGATGAAACATTCGTGTCAGGAATAGCTGAGAGTATTTGTGCTCTTCAACGACGGTGTTTCACACATTCTTGTATATCATCTCTCCCTTTCCGATCATTTTGATAAAGAAAAAAAATCTTGTTTAAAATCATATATGTGTGTATGTGTACTCTTATTGTAATTTCTACTGTAGGTTATTCTTTAGTAGTGGAGAGAAGGTCAAAAGTAAAGATGGAAGTTTGATCAAAAATTTTTTTTTATTGTTACCGCTCATCTCTACCACTCTTATACAATAAAGTTCTTTTAAACCTGCTTTTGCAGCACGAAGACAAAGTTGATGAAAATTCTCTAACAAAGTTATAAGCAAATTACAAACTGGCCACCAATGTATAGCAAAAACACTGCAAACAAAGCTCATACAAAAACTAAAAGGTTTGTATTTACTTCGCGATGGCTTTGTCTCCGATGCTGGCAATGTAGTTTGTTTATCCGTCTCTGTTGAATCAGTCTCATCATGAGTATTATCCGTTGTTTTTGACCAAGTAGCTGCTGCTTGCACTTCTTCTGCTGTTATGGGCTAAAAAAAAATAAAATATTTAATAAATCGTTTTATGAGACATTTTTTTGTTTCGTACTTGTGTTAAACGACTACGATTATTTTTCGACGGAGCAGATAATGTGTTTGATAATGTGCTTTCTGAAGCTTTCTTTTGATTAAATAATGTCATTTTATCTTTGAAAGATAATTTCGATGTATCATCATCGTGTTGTTCTTCCTCAACATTTTGATTTTCACAACTTGACTTTTGTTCAGATGAAGATGAAGCAACCAAATATTCATTATTTTCTTCGTATAAAACGATGGCATGCGTTTTTGCTCGTTTCGACGTATTATATTTTTTTGTTGTTGCTGTTGTATTCTGAACTGATAGTTCATTTTTTGCTGTACTGTTAAAAAATTAGTAGAATGAATTTTAGTGTCGATAAATGATTCTTTTTCTAAAATTTTTACTTACTCATCTTGTTGTTTAAACGATTTTGAACGTGTCAAACCAGAAGATGAATCTTTTGAAAATGTTTCAAATAAATTTTTTTTGGCTGCTACCGACATTTTTTCTTGTAAATCATCCTGTCTACAACAAAACATTACTTTGATTGAAAGAAACATCAAAAGAGATCTAGTACTTCAACTTAACCAAGTTCAGACACATAGACCGAAGGAAATACACAATGTATAACTGTTTCTGCGAGTAATTTCTCAACAGGCTGATAAATATAAAATTACGAATTGTCTGATATTCTCAGAAGCTACTCTCATCTTAAGAAAAAATTAAAAAGGAGAACAAAATCAACATACTTCTAGAATCGAGAGAATAAAACTGTAACAAATGCTGTTGAATGGAAGATTTAGAGGTTTTATTTCAAACTTAAAGGTATTTGGGAATCAACAAGATTCCCTTTTCAAGTGAACAATAGGGTTTTGTTTACACAGATCTAGTGACTGATGAGTTTTAAGCACTGCTGTCGAAGATTCGATGAGTCATTCTATTGTGTGTTTTGAGGTTCAATTGTAGAGATAGGTAGGTACTATCTAGATATACGGTTCGACCAATAAAGCGATGTTATCTTGAAACAGTTGTCTACTAGTGACCTCTCGCACAATGATGTGTGTCCTTTCTGAGTTGTTTTTCCTCTCATATGTTAATTAAACTTACTGTTGTGTATTTTGTATCTGTCGCAGATGCTCACTATTGCTGCTATTTAATTCTTCACTTGATGTTGATAATAGTTTATTTAAACGTTCAATTGAACACTTTATTCGCTGACCATCATCTTCATTTTTTTCTAATGTTTCGAATTGAGCATCGAACGACAATGCTTTATTTAAACGTTTTTGTTTCATTATCGTCGAATTAGCATCGTTATTCTTATTAGTATCCTTCGTTGTAGTTATAGATGATAGTACAAGATCACTCTTCGATATTGGGAGTGTTCGCTGTTGTTGTTGTTTTACTACAATACTGTCATCATTAGTATCACTTTCATCCAAAGTGTTTGTTTTCTGAAACGATCGTTTATAATCAGCCACTTTTTGCATACTATTTCGTTTTCGTAATACTTCTGATACCGCACGTTGTTTTTCAACAGGTAAATGTACCTGGTTAGAACGAGATAGTGTTGTTGTTGTGGTAGTGGAAATGGATGCTGATGAGTCATTATCTTGTTCTTGAAGATGCATTTCATCGGCAACCGATTCCACTGGCAATGATAGAGGAACTGAAAGCTCATTATTGTAAGAGACATCAGGTGTTTCGCGAGATGGAGATCTTGAACGACGAAATCTTTCTTCATCAATGGATACATCAAGAAAACTGTTATTTCCACTATTCTGATTAGAATGAGTTGTTAGTTCTGTCAGAGGCTGAGGTTCCAGAACTACAGCAGATCGTTCAATAATCAGGGATGGAAGCATACCAGTACCAGGATACTCATCGACTGTATCAAAATCAGATGTCGATTGTCTTTCACTCTGTCTTTGATTAACTTTAGCCATCGATGATAGAGAATAATTATTATCATCGTTTTCATATTGCGAATCAGATTCTGTTACTCCCACTGGTTTTAAACGTTCAAATACATTAAATACGGGTGATTTGATTTCACTCGATACTTTTAATTTAATAAGGCTTTTTGATTCGTTATATGATGGTTGCTCATGTACGTAATGTTTTGATAAATCGTTAAATCTGTTTGTTTGTGGAGAATCAATAAAATCTTGATTCGATTTTACTATAATAAAGAAAGTCAAAATAGAGAGTGTTGTTATGCATAGAATCCTATGTTTTCTAATGTGATCAATTCATTGATGAAAATAGGCAAATAGTCTACAAACCTTCTACGGGTTCAACGATTATCAAGTCGTTTGGATACGTGTTTTGTGCGTATGACGGCGTATAAGAATAAGGCAGAACGATGTTATTTTGTAATAACGAAGGACCGCTATGCTCCTAGAACAAATTAAATATTGTTTCATACTTTTAGGATAAAATAAACTATGTTATACTTGTGAACGGGGACGATCTTCCTTTTTTGTTTGTAATGCATTTGAATGAACTTTCGATTGATGACCAATTATTGGCATATCAGAAGTATAGGATGATGAAGAATATTCTACAAAAATAATGATACCGTGTTAATTTTTTTTTTATTATTCATTACAAAAGTTCGCAGTATATTAAAATTGGCACAATATGTTGTAAAACTATGAATGTGCATAGGGTTTTTTTCATTTTCAATATGGAGCTTATACAAAAACAAATGATTTTTTTCGTAGACACGTATAGAGAATAAAATCAATTATATATAGGTACGGCGAACTATTAGTCTATACATATATACAGACAATATAGTTCTCTTCTACTTCTAACGACCAAAAAATTTGTGGTATTTTCTTTTTTCGTTTCAATTTTATTCACTTTATTCTTAAAATGCATAAGTGGTACTCTATCTATGGGTATGAGCGGTATTTTATCTACGGTGTAGAGATAAGATAAGTAATAAAAGTAACAAGATTCATCATTTCAGATACCTTAGGCACTGTTACTTTTATCAACAATCATGTTTGGTGATCTGATACATTGTTCTCTCAAAGTTTAAATATTAAATCTGATGCTCATATAACAGATTTTATATAGACAAAACGACATGGAAAAATTACTTTTTTCGTCTACTCGAATAATGTTTGGTGTTTGCTCTTTCACTTTGGATAAATCATCATATGCATCGTGAAATACTGATATATCTTCCAATTTATCTGTACCTATATGATTGAGATGATGATCTAAATCACGCCAGAATATAATCACTGTTTATTCATAGAGAAAACAAGGAATATCTTACTTTTATGTTCTGGTACAACTGCACTTCGAACAAAGAATTGTGACTCAGCTAATGATGTTGTATTGATAGTTGTTGATGGTGTTACTTTAATTGGTTGCCATGATTTATATGATCGTTGTTGCTCATCATAAGGACTGCTACTATTGTCAACTGCTACTATTGGAATATTGTTATCACCATTACTATTACCATTATCATTTAATTTTTTAATAGCATTTGTTATTCCTGTTGTTGTTGTTATATCATGAAGTGATTGTGCACGTATTTCAGATGAATTTGTCGATGACGCATTGTTATAATTGACATTATTAAAATTGTCTCGATAATCTCCTTAATAGTTTAACACAGTTCTAGCATCAACTCAATTATTTATCTAAGCAAAATAACTGTACATGTTTTTCCATGTAGAAGTGCTAGAGCGAATTTCTTATTTTTCTGTTTAAACGAGAATATAACGCGCATTATAAATAGGTTAAGACCGAAAGATATTCCCCACTTCTTGAGAGAAAGTTTTTGTGTTGTGTCACATCAATATCTATTCATATATATACATATATATGCACGTGATGTAGGAGGTTAAGGAAAACAAGGATGGAATAAACACTTTTTTCTATTTCCTATACGCCAAAAAAATGTACATGTTTATGACGCATGTATGTTTTTACTATAAAATATAACGGATGAATAATGACATTTTGCAGGAGTTCATTAAAGTGTATGTTTGAGTGTAACGGATTTTCTGATTACTTGGTTTCAAAGCCAAGTATAGTCAGAAGTAGAGATGTGCAATCCGACCCGAAGGTTGGGTACGGGTACGGATTCTACTTTTTTTTAATTTACCCGAAAACCGGAAGGTTCTAGTGGAAAACCCACAAAGTTTTAGTGAAAAAATTACATGAGTTTAGCTAAAATACATGAAGGTTTAAAAAGAATTACTTGAGAACGTAATGATAATTTGACATTCTCCGCCGGGTGGAAAAAAAATTTTCAGGTCGGGTACGGATACGAAAATAATACCCGTGGACACTAGCCAGAGGACAAGCTTACCCTGGTAAAAACTAACTAGAGACAAACGATGTTGCACAAAGATTGAAGAATTGACTGAGTGAAACGGTGATTAGAATATTGAAAATAAAAAAACTAAAAAATTTTAGGAAGTAGTCATTGTAAAGTTTAAATAATCTACAAAATTGGATATAAGTCACAAACAGAATGAAATGAATGAAATTAACGAAATTTCATCTAACAATTGAAAGAAAATCCCCGGAATAAACGGTTCTAGTAAACGCTAAATCTTTCCTTCGCTACTGGCACTATCTTAGTGTCAATATATGCGTGTATCCTACAAAGTGATTTATCATTATATTTTGTTTTTTATTGTTATTTAATTTGAGTTTTGCCTGCAATATTCTTGATAGAATAACAAATAATTTTCTCATACCATTAATTGCCAATGCAAAACATACTTGTACTGAATAGTACAAAACGAAATGGAACGAAAGAATATTGCGAGAGACCTCTTTTCAAACTCTTTCTCAACATGTGTGCACAAAGACTTATTAGAAACCTGCAGATTAATTTTTGGTAAAAAATAAACAAAATACTCAGATCATCTTTTCTGAGTATCTGGAAAGTATTGAAAAATTTGAGATTGGGATCAAAATATTCAAAAATAGTTACACTAAACTGTGCGATTTTTTTGCGGTTTGACATTATTATCTCATAAAAACTATACCATACAGTCAACCTTTTCTGCTTTATCGAGTTAATAGAATTTAAACAAGGAAATAGGTGTCTGCCATGTTAAAAAATATCATGATCTTCAGTATAACTTTCATTTTTGAGCTAATAATGTGACTAAGGCCTATCGAAGGAAAAACGTAATATAAAACCTGAGAAGAATTTGGTATCCTCACCCTGAGAAAAGGTATCCTCCCTCTTTTTTGCGAAAAATCTTTCATTTTGTAATTCTAGTCTACTGAACTCGATGCGCGGAAGATCATTCGATTTTCATCGTATTTTAGGGACAATGTTGGAAAAGATTCTTGATTATGATACCAAAATCTTTCAACATCTAAGCAGTACGAACAAACCGAATGTTAAGACATCGTGATGTAAATTGTTTGAGGAACAGTAAGAATGTGACTTACCGGTCAATCCGTCTGATTTTGCTACATTTTTTGAACTAGCACATAGCCTAAAACAACAAAAAAGAAAAATTATTGCGTTGATAAAATACTCACGTTAGAAAGATAAACACAATCTAAATCTAATTTTTTTTCTAAGAAGTCCGCTAACAAGGACCAGAAAAAGAACATTTTTTATTTAAAATATATTACAAGGCAATTTCGTCACTGTTGTTAATCCGATGTTACGATTAAAGCATTTGTTCTACTTCGTTCTTTTTATTCGGCCACTGTCAAGGATTAGCCTGACAAATTACCGGTGATATTCTTCATATCAATCATGAATAATCAGACAATCGTAGATTACATTTATGACATGAGTCCGTGTATATATATATAAGGAGATGAAGATATTTCTTGGAAAGTTACATTTTATTTACTTATGTATAATTCATTAGAATCAGATTAGTACAGTTGGACTATACTGTAGATTCAACACACACTTCAATAAAATAATCCTGAGTGTATTGTTAGTGATCAAGTATCTTTCGGTAAACGCTGGAATAACTAATTTTCCTAACTAAAAGTTATATACATTTGAAATCATAAATGATTAAAAGTTTAGACAAACAAACATATTTTTTATTTTATGTGCTGTCAATGTTAATCAAATGTTACTCTGTTCAACTACGACAATATCTTACGGCGTCATATGTTCAAAGCATATGAACATTCTGTTCCTCTGTTGTTCTTAAATCAGTAGAACTTAAAAATCATTATCCATAATATTCTTCCTTCGGGAAAATTATTCAAAATTTGATTAGCCAAATTTCTATCGTGTTCTGAATCATCCATCACAATAAAGAAAGATTACTTTCATTTGTTTAAACTCTATTCTTATTATTAAATTTCTCCACATTTTCTAGCAGTAAAGATACATAAATGTCAACTCACCATGCACCCATAATTAAACAGCAATCTTGTGGTCAATCGAATCAAACCAAATACTCTTGTCGATGTCGACTCTCTATATACTAACTACAGTTATCTCTTACTTAATTGATGTACATATGAAAACTGTAAAACGAAAAAAAAGGAAGAAGAGTAGAAGGCATGAACGTCACGTCATGCTGTCGAGGTTAATAGATATGAGACAAGTATGCTTGTAGTAGTAAGCAAGCGAGCGCTTGTTATATACACGTATATTCCTTTTTTTTCTCCTTGGTTATATAAACTACAACTAACATAGCGAATAATAATAGGTTTTTTTTATGATCATAAATGTACGTATATATGTAGGAAATATGCAATAATATACAGAAGAAAGAAACTATTTTTTTTCTTCTTTAGAGAGGATTTATTCTGTTTTTGGCTCCTGTGATGATGTTATGGTGTATTTTCTTTCCATTTCTCGTATTATAATTAATATTATTATTGTTCTAATCATAATCTACTACCACGAGACGATTGTTCTGTCTTATTAAAAAAGTTCAGTTAAATATTGTTCAACCATATGATTTTGTCATTCTCTAGTTAAAATACGTAGAAAAAATCTACGTATGCGTCAACCAACTTTCATTTTTGACACAAATTTTTTGTATAAACACATCTGATTATAGATAAAAAAATTTCTTATTTTCGTTTTGTTCAAAAGTATTTATGTTTCTCAAGTAAAAAGGCGTCATCTTCATGCTTACTCAAAGATTTTTTGCTTTCTATTCTTTTTCTCTAATAATAGAATTCCTAGGCAAAGAAGGGTTTGTATTCAATTAAATGAGAATGGAAATTTTAGAAAAATCGCAAGTGAAAATTTTGTCTTAAAAAGTTTGAGAAGAATCACATTCGATTCATTCTTGCATGGAAAACATTAGTATGTGGTTTATTTATATTCAAAATGTAACCTGACAACGGAAGGAGGAGAGGAGGGGGTGGAAAATTTACTTATAAATCCGCATAGAATATCCAAATATCTCTAGAACACAGCTTGATCAGAAAGAGAGTGAAACATTATATTATGGGCCCTAACTTGAGATATTAGGAAAAAAATATGGCATTTCTTATGTATATTTGATCTTTCTTTATGGAAGATTTTGGCCAAATTCAAATTTTCTTTCTCTGGAAGTAGACCTATGCTTACGTGGACTGATATATACGTACAAAACGAGAAAAAGGTAAAAATATATCACGACTACACTACAGGGTGCCGTTAAGACAAAGAAAAACATAGACAGAGAGAAAGAGAGTACTATTCTGGAACTAATAACCATGCGGTGAGACAATAATAGAGAAAAATTGTATATACATGCATCTATCAAGAGAATAGTGTTTCTCTAATAGAATGATATGCAGTCTTGAAAAATGTTCATACATATTTGTGTTTTTTATTGATAGAAGCTGTTTGCATACACAGAAGGTCAAATTCAAGGATAAACAGAGA